GGTTGTTTTTTGGAGGGAGAGCCCCCCCCCCTACAGGAAGCCACGACCCCATGTCACAGCAGGGAAAATGGCGGCGGATCCTGTTCGTCATCCGATGCGGAGTTCGCGAACGGAAGCAAAATTTTGCGAACGGGGCAGCTCGTGAGCCAAATTGTTTGTGAACAGAAGAGATCGTGACCCGAGGTACCACTGTATATTCAAACTAACCAAGCCAAGATAGTACAGTAACTATTTTTGGTAATAGTGACTATCTCATGATAGCCAATTAATGAGTTCAAAAATCAGTGTAGAACCATTGCCTGGGTTATTCTTTTCTGAATAGTAACATCTTAAATGAAGGATTTGTTATTCTGAACACAAATAAATCAGTACTTCTTGTGAAATTCCTTTATCTGATTAGGATTGGCTAAATTTACTCCATTTATTGAGCCAAAAGCCAGCCCAATCGTAATACAGGTAGTTCTCGACTTATGACCACAATAGGGACTGGAAAATTCGTTAAGCAGTGTTTTTAAGCAAGGCATCATGTGACTGCACCCGATTTTACAACTTTTTTGCATAGTCATTAACTGAATCACTACAGTTGTTAAGTGAATCATGTGAACATTCAGTGAATCCAGCTTCCCCCATTGATTTTGCTTGTTGGAAGCTGTCTGGGAACATTGCAAATGTAAATCATGTGACCCTGGTACGCTACAACTCTCGTAAATACATGCCAGTTGCCAAATGCCTGGATTTTGGTCACATGACCGTGGGGACGGTGCAACTGTCGTAAGTGCAAGGACCAGTCGTAAGTCACTTTTTTCAGTGCTGTCATAACTTCAAACAGTTGCTAAACAAATGGTCATAAATCGAGGACTACCTGTAGCAATAGTCTGATAATTACCATTAAGCAAGAGTTCTTCCAGATTATCGGGGTTTCTGGCCAGCTGCAGAATAAGTGCAGAGCCACGAACTTTATCAGGAATATCTTCATATAGCAATTCAATGTACTCATCCATGTCATTAATATTAGCTACTTCATCAATCTGAAAACATCAGGCAAGGAAAATTAGAATATAGAGGAATGCAAAAAGTCAATTTGCAAATGTTTATATGGAAAGTTAAACATGAAAACAAACAGTCCAAATGCATTGAAGAGAGAAGTAAAAAGAATACAGTTTTGCATAAACAGATCTGAGGGAGATATAGAAATTCATTAAATTTTTAAGGCTGGAAAAGGTAATAATATGAACCTGAATGTGCTGTCCATGTTACAGTTTTTATTCCAATTGTAGAGAATATATGGAGCTCAGAGTTGAACTGTCAGGTTCTTGATGTTCTCTGGGCTTGGTTGTTTTCCAGCAGTGCACTGATGACATTACCTAGCCTACAGGAAAACAATCAAGCTCAAAGAACATAAAAAACCCAATGGTTTTTATTTCTGGAATGGACCTGCTTCCTTATCATTAACACACAAACAGCAGAAAATGATAACAAATTGTTATGCTTCAGAATCAAAGTAAAAATATGTTTTGAAGGACATGCAGATGTGCATGCAGCACCTGTCAGCAAATCCTGAAACCAAACATGTCTTTTCCAGGATTGCACTGTGGTTGCAGAAGGCAGTCATGTGAATTCAGGAAAAGATGCAGCTGCTTTAAGGAGTTGCCAGCAAGCTGTGTGTTAGAACCGTAGGTACGCTCCAAATTACCTTCTTCCCTTTAAATATGAAGCACCACATAGTCCTATAAATTATAGCTAATATTCAGATACAGTCTTAGCCTTGGTATTATAGTAAAATAGAGAACTTTAATAACTATTTTGTCCTGTAATTATTAGAAACAAGGAATATAGAAAATATGGAAATAATAGATTAACTCCCTGTATATATATACAAACAATGAAGTTTAAAAAAATAGTTTCTAAATATAATAATTTTGTTATATTTTATATAATAATGTGCAATTGAACAATGAGGACATCTAAGATTCAAGTCAATTTAAAATAGACTCATCTTTAGTAGTTTCAACATTTTCAAATAAAATACAGGTTTCAGAAAAAACACTAACATTTATCTGGATTCAACTGTACCTACCTCCATCCCTTCAAATGGCGGTGGATCTTTTGGCTTACTGGGTTTTTCTTTCTTTTCTGTGGAAAGAAAATACAGAATAATGGCTTAAATGCTTTTTAAAGGTCTTTCCTTACTTTTGTTATGTTTAGGACAAAAGGGTAATTAGGGTGGGGGGAACTGATTAAGTGTGAAATCAGCATTTCTACATTCATGCAGTCTAAAGGTTTAAGCATAATTCACCACAAGCAAGTTCAATCAAAATCAGTAGTGCTAAATTTCATTTCAATAAACAAGTGATAATTATTTTTCCATAAATCTATCAATTTTATTGGTTGAAACAGAGATTAAGAACAGTATTGCCCTTTCTCTCTTAATACTCTCAAAAGAGAAAATACCCACATCACAGACAATTTGTTTCCCATCTAAACATGTTTTGCTCACCTTTGGCAGATGAGGTGTCTCTGCGATTTTGCAGGTAATAGAGCAATTGTTCCACCTCAGCCAGTTTGGAAGGGTGAATAAGCTTGCATTCCTCTACCACCTTCCGAGCCAGGGAAGAAATGTCTGTATTTGCATTGAGACTTTTCAACCGAATGCTGTAAAATAGAACACAGAAGCTTTCATTTTCAGCTTGCACAGAAATCTTATCTTCAACATTTAGTTTTAAATGTATAAAAAGCAATGTCTTAAAATATAAATTATTTTACAATTTCAATTTTACTTTACTTTTACCGACCAAATTGTGGCAATTTAAAGCACAAACCTTCCCTCATAAGCCCCAGACTTCATTCAAATCTGTTAACTGGCAATCTAATATTTGTATTTATTCTCCACTGCACTAGACAAAGCCTACACAGAAAACACCCATAGAACAAAATGCAGAAACAATAAAAAGTATCAAATATATCAGGAGACAGTAATTCATTATCCCCAGTTTCATGTACAACCACTGAGCTGTGGTTAACCACAAGATGCTACAGGCAGTCCTCATTTAGCAACCACAATGGGGACTGGCAGCTTGATTATTAAGCGAAGTGGCCGCTAAATGAAACAGCGACTGTGCTTATGATCTTACTTCAGCTTTCCTTTGCTTTACAGAGCTGTGAACGTTGAAAATGTGAGGATTGGTCATAAAGTTACTTTTTCATCACCACTGTAACTGTGAATGGTCACTAAATGAGGCAGTCACTAAACAAGGACTACTATATTGATTTTAAGCCTGGGTCTGTATTCCAGCACAATGCTATCTATACTACAAGTGGCAAACCAGAAATAATAGACATCCTCAAAACCCTGTTTTCCCCACCATGAGTGTTCACAATTCCCATCACTACCACTGGTGGTACCCTGAGCGAAAAGCAAGTATCAAAATGTGGCTACTAATAGGAATATTCAAAGTATGAGTCCTCTTAAAACAGCTGCAAACACATGGTCAGAGAGATTGTTAGCTATTAATTTTAATTCCAGTAACAAAAAATGAGAATAAAAGAGATGGGAGGATGTAATTATTGCTCTTTCTTTTCCATTAATAGCAGTGGAAAAGCCACAATTCTGATTCACTAAGAGGAAGGTTAAAGTGTATTATTATGTTACCAGCAAACCTGTGTATGTATGATATCTGAAAAAGGGAATGTGTGCATTTATTTAGCTCACTCTTGGGTGGTATACAGGAATCTCAACAGCAATCTTGATATATAATCAATTAAGCTCAGGGGGAAAAAAGCAATCAAGAATAGATAAAATATAGCCATCCTCCTTTCCCACTAAGGCATCAAAGGCCAGCTTAAAAAGGAAGTTTTTCAGAGGCTTACAAAATATCAGAAGCAAAGCAGCCAAACATATTTCCAGGTGCAACATGGTCCCTAGAACTGAGGCCATAACCAAGAAGGCATTTTATGCCCCCCCCCTCATTTTACATGGGGGCTACACCTTAACCTAACTGTAGTAGGACAGGCAGACTTATTTTAGATAAGATAACCCAGTGCCACACCATGTACTTTGAACTGATCCAGAAGCTACTGGCAACCAATGCAGTAACTATAAAAAGGCATTAATTATTCTACAATGGTCACCAGCAGTCTGGTTACCACATTCCATACCAGTTGTAGCTTCCCAGTGATCTTTTAAGACAGCCTCCATAAAATGTCTGGCAATGGTCAATCACATGATGATAAAGTTGCCATTGTCACAAGAGTCTCTGTCCAGGAAGGGCCATAATTGATGTACTGCTGAAGGGGGTGAAGGTCTATCTGTTGTTCCAGCAGGAGATGAATCCAAGAACACCTGCAACTCACAACCTGTTCCTTCAGTGGGAGCATGACCCCATCTAGAGCCATAACTGGAACCAAGATTTCAGGGAGGCCAGGATGCCTATGGACAAACGGCATTCCTATCTTGCTACAGATGGTTCTCAGGTTACAATGGCAACTGGGACTGGGATTGCCTTCGCTAAGTGATGCAGTTATAAAGCGCAATGCCACACAACCACATTGCTTACCGATGGCAATCCCGGCAGTCCCAGTTGCCATTGTAACCCCAGGACCATGTGGGTCATTAAGTGGGAAGAGGCAGAAGTCCCAGGCAAGGAGCACAGGGGCGGTATATGGGTGCTACAGGGGGATGTCACAGGTGGGTAATTTTGAATGGTCGCTGAACAAGTGGTTGTAAGTCAAGGACTATCTGTAGTTTCTTTCTCTCCATCTAATCCCTGACAGTAAGCTCAGACACCAGCTCAAGACCAGGGTGATGAAATACAATTTAATATCATCAGCAAAATAACTTACCATGAACTGGTGTATGACCCCTTCCAACTGTTTCATAGAGATGTTAAATAACAGAGGAAAAGACCAAGCTCTATAGTATCCTACTTTGGAGCAACCATGGGTTTCATCAACCTTACCATATGACTATCATCTGGAATTGCCCACAACCCTTGCTGGTCCTCCAACAGGATATATGGTCAATAGTAATGAATGTTGCTTAAAAGTCTAATACAAACAGAAGGGACACAATCCCCCTGTCCAGATCCCAACTAAGGTCATCCATTTCAGCAACAAATGCTGTTTTCAAACTGTACTTGAATCTCGACTGAAAGGAATCCAGACAATCCACTTCTAGGGTCCTCCATAGTTGATTCCTCACCAACCTCTTAATGATCTTCCCCCAAAAGAGTAACTCCTCCAAAATATCAAGACATGGCCTCTTCAACCATGGGTAAACTATCACTTACTTCAAGACACTGTGTACTCCACTCCCTGGCCACTCAAGGAGCTGGTACAGGTACAGCTCTAAGAGGCAGAGGATTTTCTCTACATCCTCAGGTCCTAAAGTTCAAAAGAACCCCACCAGATAAATAAGCACAGATAAGAAAAGGTGTGTGAGTCTACTGCATGCAGACCCAAAAAAGACTGCTCACATCAATCCATTGCAAGCCAGAAAAATATGTATTATGTTCCATGTTTTTCAGAGGAAAATCCTGACTTCTGACTTCCATTTTCAGGCTGAATGGCTAGGGTCTAGTTTTCTGGTATCCTGATGTTTTGCAACCAGCTGTGGCTAGCATCTTCAGAGGCAGAGTGAGATGCTTTGTAGTATATTTCTTGGCAGCTCACAGGCAACTGAACAGGGACTGGGTTCTTGTACCTGAACCTGGAAAGCTGATCTCTGATTGGTCCGTGTCATGGGAGTCTAAGAAAGAAGGTTCCTGACTGGCTCCTTGTCTCATTAGACTTCTGACTGGTGTATTTTGAAGAAATTCCAAGAGAACTAGTTCCAGATTGGCCAGTCCTTAAGCCAGTACAAAATCAAGCAATTAGGCTGTAAACCACTGTGTAGTTAACCATGGTAAACCATGGTAAAATATGGTGTTCAAACACACGCAAAGGGAAAATAAACACTATTAGTTATTGTGGAAAAAGGGCTTGCCATCATGAAAGGAGTAAGATTATTTTTCTTTTACTAAAGAGGCAGCAAGCTTTTTGTTTCTTGGAGAGGGGTGGTTAAAGCAAAGACATTAAAAGCTCTCACTGTCTCCTTTCATAAGGATAAATCAATCACTTAACAAAGTAACAGATTCATTTTTTTTCTCTGATGTTATGGAACTTGGTTACAACTGGAAAAGTGCTACAGTAGGGCAAAAAAGTATTTAGTCAGCCACCAATTGTGCAAGTTCTCCCACTTAAAAAGATGAGAGAG